TTACTGACTTACTCACCGACTGTCATTTACAGATCTTTCAATTCGCCATTAGAAAAAAAGGCCTGTCAGTGTTATTGTCCGTTTATGGTTCTTTTGTATTGAGTGGATTCCATTAGCAATTTTCTGCTCTTGCCTTTCTTCTGCGTTGCTTCGTTCGCTTTCTTCGTTCGCTTTCTTCGTTCGCTTTCTTTATTTCTTTCCATTGTTCATTGACACTTCTCTTTAAAATCAGCTTTGTTTTCCGCCATTTTCTGGCCGATTCGTTATTATTAATTTTTTTTTTTAAGTTTACCAACTCCTTCCCAATTTTCTCTTTTTTCATCACTTTTAAATTCTTCTTCTTTGCCTTCATTACTTCAACCTTTTTGTCTTGTCTCTTCTTCCTTTTTTTTTTCCTTCAATTTTTTTTGTTTTCAATCTTTGAAAGTTAAAATAAATAAATAAATAAATACCTTTTTTCTTTCCTTTCAACCTTTTCGTCTTTTCTTTTTTCTTCCTTTTCACCATTGTTCTCTCAGATTTATTTTCATTCTTCCTGTGTTTTCTGGTTCCTCTTTCTCTCTTGTTTTTTCTTCCACTTTTTCGTCTCAAACTCTATTTTATTCGTCATTCCTTCTTTTTCTTCTTTCTTTCTCTTTCAAAATTTTTCGATGGAGAAAAAAGAGCAACGGAGGCAATACGCTTTCTTATCTATACTCTTCTTCTTCTCCTCCTTCTTCTTCTCCTCCTCCTTCTTCTTCTTCTCCTCCTCCTCCTTCTTCTTCTCCTCCTCCTCCTTCTCCTTCTCCTCCTCCTCCTTCTTCTTCTCCTCTTCCTCCTCCTTCTTCTTCTTCTTCTTCTCCTCCTCCTCCTTCTTCTTCTCCTCCTCCTTTTTCTTCTCCTCCTCCTTCTTCTCCTCTTCTTTCTTCTCCTTCTCCTCCTCCTTCTTCTTTTCCTCCTCCTTCTTCTTATCCTCCTCCTCCTCCTTATCCTCCTCCTCCTTCTTCTCCTCCTCTTCCTCCTTCTTCTTCTTCTCCTCCTCCTCCTTCTTCTCCTCCTCCTCCTCCTCCTTCTTCTTCTTCTTCTTCTTCTTCTTCTTCTTCTTCTTCTTCTTCTTCTTCTAACCCCTCTATTTTCTTCACATTTTCTTAATCTTTCTTCGATTTTTTTCTCCTTCCTTGTTTGTCCTAATTTCCCACACCCTCTTCTTCGCTCCTTCTCCTCCCCTTTCCCTCTGTCATTCTCTTTCCCCCCGTTTCTCCACCCCTTCAGACTTTTCCCCATATTCTCTTCTTTCATTTTATTCCCTTATTTCACTCCTTTTTTTTCTTTTGTTCTTTACTTCTCCTATTTCTACTGTTCATCCCCACTCTTTCTCTTTTACTCAATCTTTTCTTTCTTTTTTGTTTTTCATTTCCTCGTCCTCCTCTTTCTTTTTCTTTCCTTCTCTCTTTTCCTCTCCTCTCCCCTATAATTCCCCCTACCACTACATTTCCCTTGCTCTTCACCGGCCCGCCTCTCTCTACCCCTCGCTTCTCACCCAAGTGCAAACATTCTTCAGAATGTTTCTATTCAACATGGACTCTATATATCGCTAAAGACGTCGTCGTCGTCATCATTACGACTCTTATCTACAACAGTCCTCGTTTCCGCCTTCTCATCGCTCATTCTAGTCACTCCTTCCTCAACCTCCATGAATCATGATGGGATTGCTATGAAGCAATCGCTCCATTCTTGTCATCAATTCAGCAAAAATTCTTACTCGCAAATAGTCCATTGCATTAAAAACAAAACAAAAAGAAAATGATGCCGACCTTAAAGTGATGATTAACAATGAATCTCAGAAACAGTTCGTCACTGGGTTCATCACAAATAAACATATGCTTACTATACCGTAATCCTTTGTGTATAGAACGCTAGAGAGTATAAGACGTAGTTAAAAAAGCAAAGAAAAAGGTTTATTTTAATGTATAAAACGCACCTGATTTTAAAGCAAAGAAAATGACCAAGACTTGTGAAAAAGAAAGAGAAAAATATTAAAAAAAAGCTCATTTTCATGTATAAAAAGGAACCTAATTTTAAAGGAAAGAAAATGGCCAAAACTTGTGAAAAAGAAAGAGAAAAATAAGCTTATTTTCATGTATAAAACGCACCTGATTTTAAAGCAAAGAAAATGAACAGGTCTCTTCCTTGGCCTCCTGTTGACTGCTGTTGTACTTCCCCGTGTGACCCCTTTTATGGCGTTTTTTATGGCTTAACAGGCTCGAAAAACGACGCGAGTATAATTAGGAGGGAAGCATTTTTATTGGTCGAAAAATAGAAACACTTTAAAATATTATTTTATTTTTCGGCCGGAACTCGTGCGTCGGGGCTATACGTAAACGACGATAATGGTCATTTTGTGACGGGGCCTTGTCCCGTTCACATCCGGCTCTTGCTCTTAAGTATGTTAGTTTATTTGCCTGCAAATCAGCCGAGATATGTCTTAGTTTATTTTATAACAGGAACAACAAATTTATATTTTATATGCAAAATATTAGAATTTTGTTTTGTAAAGATGTGTGCGAAAGCTTGATCAGGATATTTTAAAGAGAAAAGTTCTTGTTGCTGGTTTGGAAATGTTTCGCATGTTTGTAATGTAGTTTGGAAAATTTCGTACGTACGTGCATGTGTGCGTGTGTGAATAAGTTTTCAGCATTCAACCGCAATGGGGTCCCAATGTAGTTTCCTTTGAGGTTACATTTTCGTAGGCGAAATGAAATCAAGAAAGAAAAGAAAAGCGAAAGAACAAATTTGTGTCTGATATTTATAATTAACGTAATCTCCTGGAAAAGAAGCGGGAAAACTTGACTTGGTCACGCGCTGGAAAAAGACTTTTGCGTGGATGGATTGCAACGCCCACTTGTTTGTTTATTGATCAATTAGAAGTTGAGATTTCCTGAAAATATGTATGAAGCTGGGTAAGCTCTTTGATCCACTTTTTGCACAGATTTGTACAAAATTCAACATTGATAAGAAAGTGGCATCGGGATACTAAAAGCCAGTGACGACACAGAACACAACACTTATCAGTCAGTCTAGGAGAAGGGAAACTCTTCCAAACTGTGGAAATATTTTTCCCAAGAAGCCATGTCAATTTGCAGATAGCAAAGAAGCGGAATCTATGGTGGGTCATGTTAAAGACTAACAGTGTCGATGTTGAGTTGTTAATGTAAATTACCCTGTCTTATATGAATTAGTAGTTGATAGAGAATTCCTTTTCTCTTTTTATACTGAAAATGAAACGGCTAAAACATACAACAATAACATACAACAATAAGACTTTGAAACAAATGTTGAAATTAATGTATTTTTCTTTACGTGAATATTATTTACAATATTAGTTTTGTGTGTGTTAAATATGCCAATGGTTCTTGTCTTTTTTCTTTTTTGTTTCTTTAAAGTTTTGGCTTATCTGCTTATAATTGTTCTGAGAATTTCGTGGTTAAGGGAAGCCTTTGGAACCGTCAACTTTGTATTTTCACAGAACGAAGAAGATATGTCTTGTTAAGCCTGTGTTTTTCCTTTTACTACTGCTCTTTTGCTTGTCTTAGAAAGGTCGTTTTTATAATGATGAAGTTTCAGATCTTTGTTTCTAGAATGATGAAATATCATTATCATGAATCATCACTGGTAGAAAGGTTGTTTTTAGAATGATGAAATTTCAGATCTTTACTTCGAGAATGATGATATATCATCATTATCATGAAGCTGTGAAGAGTCATGATCGCTTATGTCCTGAATTTCATAGTATTATATTGAATTTTTATTTGATGAAGAACTGTCAGCCATTATTAATTTTTCATTGATATTTATTTAATCTTAATTTTAGTTGCTTTTCGTCATGATTATTCATACTGCCAGTCTATAGCCATAAACAAACAAATAGTAATATTATCATGAATTTTTTATTAAGTGAAGCATTGTCAGCCATTTTCAATTTTTTTATTAATATTTCTTTCATCTTAATTTTGCTTGTTTTTTATTGCAACTATTCAAAGCTAGTCGTTAGTAAACAAATTTTTATTAGAAGCATTGTCAATCAGTATTAATGTTTGCCTGATATTTCTTTCATCTTAATTTCACTTGCTTTTTATTGCAGCTACTCACTATCGGCTGTTAGCAAACAAGTAGTAATATTTTCCACAGCAGATGGTGTTTTATTCAAGAATAAAGTTTTACTCTTAAAAACAACTGAAATCAATTTTCTGTGTCGATAAAATATTTATTTTAGTTGTTTTTTATCGCAATCTCTTAGACCTTAATACTGGCAAACAATGGAAATTGTACTGTTGTATTTTCTTGCCTTCGGGGGTTTAGGCAGACAGCTATCGCGCTAAGCCAGTCTTTTTGGGGAAATACTCACGTTGAACTTGACATTTTATTTAAAATACATCGCGATCAAGTCAAACGTTTTGATAATTTAAGAGCAAATTAAAAACGAAAATTTTGAACAGGTCTTAAGAATGTGATGTAATAGTCTAACATTATGAATTTATTTGACTGAAAAATGACACTAATTAAACATGGCGTAATTACGAAAACGCTTCAAGAATGCATCTTTATTTGCTAAAAAAAACGATTCTCTGTTGTTTTTAAAAACAAAAACAGTACACTCCAACCTTGAATAAAACACCATCTGGTACGGCGAAAGAGGAGAAAAAAAAAAAAAAGAAAAAAAAGAAAAGAAAAAGGAAAAGAAAACAAACCCCCCAGCTATACACCGGAAAACACTAGCCAGTCAGGAAGGGCTCTTTTCATAGCCTTTACTTAAAATAGAGACAAGAGATCGGCTGCAGTCACTCTAGCTGCTGCTACTGCTGGTAGTGGTGGAAGTGTTTCTTGGTCCCTGGCGTATTTGCGATGTAATCTACAGTCTCCATGTCTTTCTATCTCGGTTTAAGCATAACCATATATGGAAACACTCAGACGTTGTTGGCTCACTCAAGAGTTTCTCGCTACACTGTTCTGCTTTTCATAGAATGGGAAAGAGACGGCGCAGCGCCATTTTGATTGGAGGTGAATATATCATTGAAAATGTGTTGTGGGGAGAAATTACTGAATGCTTGCCAGAGAAAATCTAAAAACAAATATTAGAAGAAATTAAATTTGTACTTTTATATAAAAAGAAATATCCGAGGCTACATTTACGGATCCATTACATAAAATCTATTATTTTTTTATTTGTAAAATAATAGATTTTCATTTGATGTATTATTGGCTATTATTAGTCTGATTGTGAATAATGATGGTTATCAAAGTTGCGATAAAATGCAACAGAAATTAAGATTGATGAACCAAAAGCAAGGAGCACGTCCGTATAAAAAACTGTTGGATCTTTTCTGTTAATTCACCCTAAAATATTAATTCATCCTAAAATGAAAAGAATTTATATTTTCTAAAATTCACACCAAATTTTCCCAGAACGAGGCTCTTTCATTGCACTCCGTTTGGGTTGATTTGCGATCGCCCCAAATGTGGACGACTCGAGTGAGCTATTTCTAAGTGTGGGGTCTCTGTCGCGCTCACCCCAACAAAACCCCCCAAATAGGATTTTTTTTTAATTGTAAGAAAAAAAAATCCTTATAAGTATATAGAATATCATCTGTACTTACAAAATTCGAATAAATCCCTGATTTTTGGTCACGTTTCCTTCTGAGAGTTGGGGCTGTTGCCAAGCAAGCGAAACAAATTTTGATTTAAAATTTATAATTTCAAAAGAGTGCCAAAAATTTAATAAAGAAAAAAAAACAAACTTTGAATTAAAGTTTATAGTTTCTTGGGGTGAATTAATATTTGCGATAAGTAATTTGAGTTAACAGAAAAGATGAAAATCCATATATCAAGAAGGGCGCTACAAAATAAAATGAAAAAGCTCGGGGTGATTGTGTTGGTCTAAATAATATTTTAAAAGTTTTAAGATGGGATCTGCTAAATCAGATGTTAAAAGTGGAGGTGCTAAATAAGATTTTATGTTTTAAAGATTCCAGATTCTATAATTTTTATCTGATCTCATAAAGTGAAAATTTTATCCTGATTTAGCATTTTGACTTCAGTCACTTCTTCACAGAAGTGATGTGGCTTCCCTTTGTCTTTTCTACAAATATTTACATGGCGATTGCTCTGGCGAACGTCTTTATCTGGTGCTCCGACTACACCCTTTTAATGTCGAAATAGTTAAATGCAACTGCTACTTCTACTCTAACAGTTTCGCACTCTCCGCCTGTGGAACTATCGTTTACTTGATTCCCTGAAAACTACAGTCTTCAAAAATTTAAATGCAACGTCAATCGCCATTTTCTGTCTTCTTGAATCCCGCTCATCTTTTATCTCTTCCTCAACCTCCCCCCAAATATACCCAGTATTTTCTCACACTTACACTCTGTCACCCCCCTATATACTCAGTATTTTCTCTCACTTTCACTCTGTCACCCCATCTATATATCCAGTATTTTCTCTCACTTTCACTCTCTGTCACCCCCTATATACCCAGTATTTCCTCTCATTTTCACTCTCTGTCACCCCCTATATACCCAGTATTTTCTCTCACTTTCACTCTCTGCCACCCCCTATATACCTAGTATTTCCTCTCATTTTCACTCTCTGTCACCCCCCTATATACCCAGATTTCCTCTCTGTCACCCCTATACCCAGTATTTCCTCTCACTTTTCACTCTCTGTCACCCCCATATGCCCAGTATTTCCTCTCCTTTCCTCTCTGTCACCCCCCCCCCCCTATTTCCTCTCATTTTCACTCTCTGTCACCCCCTATATACCCAGTATTTCCTCTCATTTTCACTCTGTCACCCCCTATATACCCAGTATTTCCTCTCATTTTCACTCTCTGTCACCCCCTATATACCCAGTATTTCCTCTCATTTTCACTCTCTGTCCCCCCCATATACCCAGTATTTCCTCTCATTTTCACTCTCTGTATTTTCTCTCTGTCACCCCCCCCCATATACCCAGTATTTCCTCTCATTTTCACTCTCTGTCACCCCCCTATATACCCAGTATTTCCTCTCATTTTCACTCTCTGTCACCCCCCTATATACCCAGTATTTCCTCTCATTTTCTCTCTGTCACCCCCTATATACCCAGTATTTCCTCTCATTTCACTCTCTGTCACCCCCTATATACCCAGTATTTCCTCTCATTTTCACTCTCTGTCACCCCCCTATATACCCAGTATTTCCTCTCATTTTCACTCTCTGTCACCCCCTATACCCAGTATTTCCTCATTTTCACTCTCTGTCACCTCCCTATATACCCAGTATTTCCTCTCATTTTCACTCTCTGTCACCCCCCTATATACCCAGTATTTCCTCTCATTTTCACTCTCTGTCACCCCCCTATATACCCAGTATTTCCTCTCATTTCACTCTCTGTCACCCCCCCTATGCCCAGTATTTCCTCTCATTTCACTCTCTGTCACCCCCCTATATACCCAGTATTTCCTCTCATTTTCACTCTCTGTCACCCCCCTATATACCCAGTATTTCCTCTCATTTTCACTCTCTGTCACCTCCCTATATACCCAGTATTTCCTCTCATTTTCACTCTCTGTCACCCCCCTATATACCCAGTATTTCCTCTCATTTTCACTCTCTGTCACCCCCCTATATACCCAGTATTTCCTCTCATTTTCACTCTCTGTCACCCCCCTATATACCCAGTATTTCCTCTCATTTTCACTCTCTGTCACCCCCCTATATACCCAGTATTTCCTCTCATTTCACTCTCTGTCACCTCCCTATATACCCAGTATTTCCTCTCATTTTCACTCTCTGTCACCCCCTATATACCCAGTATTTCCTCTCATTTCACTCTCTGTCACCCCCCTATATACCCAGTATTTCCTCTCATTTTCACTCTCTGTCACCCCCTATATACCCAGTATTTCCTCTCATTTTCACTCTCTGTCACCCCCCCTATATACCCAGTATTTCCTCTCATTTTCACTCTCTGTCACCCCCTATATACCCAGTATTTCCTCTCACTTTCACTCTCTGTCACCCCCCTATATACCCAGTATTTCCTCTCATTTTCACTCTCTGTCACCCCCTATATACCCAGTATTTCCTCTCATTTTCACTCTCTGTCACCCCCCTATATACCCAGTATTTCCTCTCATTTTCACTCTCTGTCACCCTCCTATATACCCAGTATTTCCTCTCATTTTCACTTTTCTGTCACCCCCCTATATACCCAGTATTTCCTCTCATTTTCACTCTCTGTCACCCCCCAGCTATATACCCAGTATTTCCTCTCATTTTCACTCTCTGTCACCCCCCTATATACCCAGTATTTCCTCTCATTTTCACTCTCTGTCACCCCCTATATACCCAGTATTTCCTCTCATTTTCACTCTCTGTCACCTCCCTATATACCCAGTATTTCCTCTCATTTTCTCTCTCTGTCACCCCCCTATATACCCAGTATTTCCTCTCATTTTCACTCTCTGTCACCCCCCTATACCCAGTATTTCCTCTCATTTTCACTCTCTGTCACCCCCTATATACCCAGTATTTCCTCTCATTTTCACTCTCTGTCACCTCCTATATACCCAGTATTTCCTCTCATTTTCACTCTCTGTCACCCTCCTATATACCCAGTATTTCCTCTCATTTCACTCTCTGTCACCCCCCCTATATACCCAGTATTTCCTCTCATTTCACTCTCTGTCACCCCCCTATATACCCAGTATTTCCTCTCATTTTCACTCTCTGTCACCCCCTATATACCCAGTTTTCCTCTCATTTTCACTCTCTGTCACCCCCCTATATACCCAGTATTTCCTCTCATTTTCACTCTCTGTCACCCCCCTATATACCCAGTATTTCCTCTCATTTTCACTCTGTCACCCTCCTATATACCCAGTATTTCCTCTCATTTTTCACTCTCTGTCACCTCCCCTATATACAGTATTTCCTCTCATTTCACTCTCTGTCACCCTCCTATATACCCAGTATTTCCTCTCATTTCACTCTCTGTCACCCCCCCTATACCCAGTATTTCCTCTCATTTTCACTCTCTGTCACCCCCTATATGCCCAGTATTTCCTCTCATTTTCACTCTCTGTCACCCCCCCATATATACCTCAGTATTTCCTCTCATTTCACTCTCTGTCACCCCCCTATATACCCAGTATTTCCTCTCATTTTCACTCTCTGTCACCCCCCTATATACCCAGTATTTCCTCTCATTTTCACTCTCTGTCACCCCCCCCTATACCCAGTATTTCCTCTCATTTTCACTCTGTCACCCCCCCCTATATACCCAGTATTTCCTCTCATTTTCACTCTCTGTCACCCCCTATATACCCAGTATTTCCTCTCATTTTCACTCTCTGTCACCCCCTATATACCCAGTATTTCCTCTCATTTTCACTCTCTGTCACCCCCCTATATACCCAGTATTTCCTCTCATTTTCACTCTCTGTCACCCCCCATATTTCCCTCATTTCCTCTCATTTTATACCCACTCTCTGTCACCCCCCCCCCTACCCAGTATTTCCTCTCATTTTCACTCTCTGTCACCCCCCATGACAATCTAACACCCAACCCTTCATTATTTTAAAGGCGGTGGCTGAGGGTCAATTGACCTTAGAGAAAAAGCATATTAAGGCATCCGGTTTTGGGTGTACCGAAATACAGAATTATCAATGGCTCAATGTCTTATGACGACCCGTGTATACTGGTCGATGTATCCCCGTCTCATCCAAGACGAATGGATGTAATCCGTGATGGGATTCAACGGTTTCGCACAGGTTCGCGTGAACCTGTTCATGGAATCTTATGAGTTCAGCGAACACGTTGCTAGCTGCAACCCGAACAAAGAAACTGCTAATTTTAAATTGTCGACAAATTGTAGTCACATAATCGGTTGGGCATTTAAATTCAGGTGATTGAATAAAGGTTAATACAAATTTCATGAACTGCTGAACTCGCTAGAGCCAGATACTTAGAATATTCAAAAAATTGTTAATCTCTGGAAAGCTGTGGGAGAAAAGCTGAGTGGCTTCAGTAAAATGTTTCATCACAACATTCCCATTTTCGTGACTATGTGGAAAATATCCTGAAAAATTTCATGATTCTGCAATCCTTCAAAGTGTACAAAAAGCGAAAACTATTATCAATACGATTGCTATCAGTTCTTCCGCGACAGTAAGAAGTTTTTCAAGAATTAATATTATATACTTAGATAAAAGAAGCCGCCTTACAGTAGAAAAATTCAGCAAACTTGATGACAATTAATCTTATTTGTTTCCCTTTAAATTTATGGGGTGTCACTCCTTTCGTTAAAAGATGGCTTCGAAAGAAATCACAGTGCTGATGACAAGAGAATTAGGCAAAAATAGCTGAAGACTATGATGACAATCAAGTGCCATTTGCAAATATTTCAAAATGAAAAATTATAAATAAAAGATTTTAAAGCATTTCTTTTAATTATTTTTCCTTTCAAAATGATAACGAACGATGTAATGCAGATTAATTTTGAATTTTGGTATTTTTGAATAAGTGCAAGAAAAATTTGCTTTATTTCTAAATTATATCTATATAGTAAAATATTGACTATGGAAAAATGGGGGAACCATTGCTATTGAGACTTGTTGTTGAGAGAACCCATTCTTAAAATTATTGAAATCCCACCACTGGAACTCCCTTGGTAAATTCTCAGTAGTAATTGTATTCCATATTTGGTAGTGGAACATTGGACCAATGAAAAGCAAACAAACAAACAAATAAATCACATGACAAATAAGAAAACCAACACCACCTCTGGCTAATCTGTTTCCATTCTTAAGAGAAAAAATAATTACCAGAGGGTAAATCCTCGAACAATGAAAAAAAAATATGGCAATCTACTTGTAAACGGGAAAAAATAACAAACACGTTGATAGCATACTGAAAATGAACTCTTTTTTTTTTTCACCATTTAAAACGAAAGAAAGTTTTTAAAAATAGGGAGCCCCTTCCTGGCTACAGCAGAGGAATGAAATAAAGCAACACAAACATTACTTTTCATAAACTCTTAATCCCCAAAGAAATAAAAAACATGATTTACGATCGAGAACGATAAACAATACACCCCACCCAATCCCTTGAGGTGTTTCAAGTGTCAGAAGCAATGGGCTTCACAAGGAGAGCTGCAGAAGACACCCAGTATGTGGGAAATGTGCGCAAAAAGACCGAGATCATATGGAGAAATATTGTACTCACGATACTAAATACTTTAATTCTTAAGAGGACCATCCAGCCTTTTCGAAATATTGCTATATATTGTAGGTTATTCCACTTGACTTTACTAAAATACCGTCGCTAGGAGATGCTCTTATAAATAGACAATTATATTTTTACTCCTCCTTTTTCCTATTTTTTTTTCTTAGAAAATAAGATGTAGTCGCACATGGGGAAAAAGTTTAATTGTAATTGTATATTTTTGTTAATACATACATTGTCGTTTGTTTTATATACTGTTTTATGTTATTCCATTATTACTTGGACTCACATTTGAGTCCGCAATAATTGTTACGGGAAAATATAGGATTCACGTGTTTTTTCCATAAACACAACAGACATTCCCGCAACAATATATAAAAGAGAGAAAGAAAGCACAGAGGTCAAATCGAGAAGATATTTCCCAGGAATCAAAAAAACCAAAAAAAAAAAAAAAAAAAAAAAAAAAAAAACAAAAAAAAAAAAAAAAAAAAAACCCAAAAAAAAACAGTAGATTGATATCTGAAAGGCTATATATCTACGTCAATGTAACACAGAAGTTGAATCCAATTATCAGTATAAATAATAGCAACAAAACAGGCAATTATAAAGCAGTCGTCGAGTAGTTGGTGCAGCCAGAACAAAACGACTGGTCGAAATTAGAAGAACCCATTTCAAAACCATATCATCATCATCATCATCATCATCATCATCATCATCATCATCATCACTCCCTTGACTTTTGTAATCGTAGGGTGGGGGGGAATCCGAATGCAGACGCCATATTGAATCTCCTCCACAACGCTCTATCAACGGCAGCCATCAGCAATTCTGTTATAGTAATACCTGTCCATTGTTTGTCATTGTCCAACCAGTTTTGGGTCCTCTCCTACGTCCACTTTCAACGGTGCCTTGCATGATGGTCTTGCACAAGCTATCATGCCTTGTAACTTGTCCAAACCAAATCTCAAAATAGATATCTCCGGTAAAATCTCCCAAAAAACATGACCAACCAACAAGAAAAAAAAAAACAAAACCCCAAAACACCTCTGATACCAAGTACTAGAATCGAGTCGAAGAGAAAGAAATTTTGACTACTGTTTCATTAATATATGTAGGCATCAGTTTTTGGGAGGGTACTAAAGCACCAAATTAGCAGGGGACCAAACTGCATTCACGATGCGAGTGTACTGATCGATGTATCCCCGTATCAAACAAGGTGAATGAATTTAACACCCTTAGTAAAATTCCCAATAGAAAATGGACTTTGTCGTATGTGTTGGAGCACAGGACCAATGAAAGAAAAAAACAAATTACATGGCAGACTCAAAAAGAACTCCAAATGGAATCTCTGTGACTCTGATTCAAAAATAGAAACCAGAAGTGTATTCCCGAGATTCATTTTAATTGAATCTCTAGAGGAAACCCCGTCTGGCCAAATTGTCTCCATTCATAATAGAAAAAAATAATTACCTGCAGGGTAAATTCTCGAGCAGGGAAAAAAGTGAGAATCTACTTCTATAATTAAACAATAAGGCAGCCGCAGAGAGCAGACTGAAAATGAAATCTTTCTGTCAAGCGAACAATCCATCCTTTTCGAAATATTGAGAGATATTACAGGGTGTTTCACAATTTTTGAAACAAAATAATCGAGCACAAATCAAGGGCCACACATGATAGAGGAATGGAAATTACATTTATTGAAAGTTAAAAGGATAATATTTTAGGGTCTGCAACCATTTAGTCTCGAACATGAACCAAAAATGTCAAGAGAAACCCTAGAATACGTGCTCCAGATATTCACCGTTCCGTTGAAGACGCTGTTGAATGCAAAGTTTGTTGATAATACGTACACATTCCTCCTGGGTGATCGTTTGAATCTTGTCAGTGATAGTTGCGCTCAATGCAGGAATGGTGCAAGGGTTGCAGAACCACCAGAGGAAGAAATCTGTGGGGGGTCAGGTCAGGCGAGTAGGTGTTCATTCCACTTCAGCTTTGCAGCTGATGAAACGCTCCCTATACTTTTCTTGGAACCATGCCATGGTAACCATAGCAGTGTGAGGAGGAGCACCGTCCTGCTGGAACCATTGTTCCTCCCCAGCAAGGTCTTTACGCTTCTCAAGCTCTCTCCATCTCAGAGGCTACTGATTTGTTTATATATATATATATATATATATATATATATATATATATATATATATGTGTGTGTGTGAAAAGTGTATATAAATATAAATAAATATATATATGTATAATTATTTATATATTATATACGCATTATTAGAAAGCGCTCAATATCAGAGATAGAGCTAAAAAAAAAAAATATACATAATATGACATGTATACAGTCACGAGACACTAACGTGACATTTCTGCCACACTTCCAATGTTTAAATTTCAACATTTCAACATACAAATGCGTATGTATAGATATAACACCACCCGTATACATACATATGTCATATCCGAAACTGCCCACATACGTTTATATATGTATGAGTCCCGACGGATGACCAAGTATGTATATGTGTCTGCATATATCGATGTTTCGTTAGTACGATGAATGACAAAACGACGAAGTTTCCCCCACCACTTCCACAATAACACCAATACACGCAATCTACATAAACCCAAAGTTTTTAAAACATTAATCAGTTTGTCTGACGATCGCTAAAGCGTGAAACCCAGGGTCACAAACTCACATCTATCCATCCAAATATATATATATAAACAAATCAGTAGCCTCTGAGATGGAGAGAGCTTGAGAAGAAAAAAGACCTTCCTGAGGAGGAACATATATATATATATATATATATATATATATATATATATATATATATATATATATATATATATATATAATGACTCTCCCGTCGGTTTCGACGTATGAGGATCTGACAGCTTAATTGATTCAGTTACGAAAGTTTGTGCGATAATCTTAAGTAGCACTTAAAACCCACTAGTGATTTACAAAGGAGGCCGGATATGGAGCAAGAATAAGGATTGTGGGATGAGATCACTGTTAGATTGACTGACCTTTTAGATCTTGCTCTTGCTTCTTGAAGACGATTCAGGCAAGCTGATTGAAAACTGCTGAGTCCACTAAAACACGTTGATCTCCATTCTACCCGCTCCAAGGCTAAGCGCTCGAGGGTGTTATGACGTATATTGACAGCTGACAAGTAAAAATGTTGATGGTTCTGCAAAGGCCTTCACCACTTTAATCAAATCACTTGTGTGGGTTTTCTGTCGGTTTACCTTGATTCACGCATATATATATATATATATATATATATATGTCTGTCTATATTTCTGAGATGAGGTATTATGTGCACTATTT